TATTTTTGTATTTTAGTACAGAGTCTACAGGGTCTCACTACATAGATTGGACTCATAGTAATCCGCCTATATTCAGCCTCCAAAGAGTTTGGATTACAGGTGCGCGCAACCATGCCCAGTCTCAAGCACACCCCAAGGGCGGGGCTGGCACGGCATACCGGGGATCTAACCCCAGCCTCTGTGTCTGCCTAAGCAGGTGCTTTAATCCGCTGAGCTATTTGGCCAGCCCTGTTCAGGTTAATATTTGATGGTAGCAGCTTTTTTGTCACCAGTCTACTCACTTGTAGTGTCCTGTTAAGGTGATAACATTTCTGTAAGTTAAAACAGCATTTGAGGTCCCCTTCTTATTTTTTTTTTCTTTTCATCTAAAATAGGTAAAACCTTGTTAGCCAAAGCAGTAGCAAACCAAACTTCAGCCACTTTCTTGAGAGTGGTTGGCTCTGAACTTATTCAGAAGTACCTGGGTGATGGGCCCAAACTTGTACGGGAATTATTTCGAGTTGCTGAAGAACATGCGAGTTGCTGAAGAACATGCACCATCCATTGTGTTTATTGATGAAATCGACGCCATTGGGACTAAAAGGTAGAGCATCTTGTACCTACTTTGCACTTCTGAGGACAGATCTTCTCTGAGAAGGATCAGGGTGTTGTACTCTGCCTATGTGACAAGCTCCTCCCATGGCCCTCTGTGGGTGCTTTAGGCCCAGCTCCAGCTGGGGCTAGGAAAAACACCCAGAACTGGGCGTCTGGAAGCTGGGCAGTCACGAATAACCACATCTTGAACGCTTGCCTGAGCTGAGACCATCCCAGCTCTGGGAACACAGTCTGTAGGGGATCAGCCATCATGGAGTCAGAATGATAGTTTCAACCAACCGCAGAAACTGCTGCATGCTACAGAAGGATGTGTAGGATGGCTGATTAGGACATCTTAGTCCACTTGTGGTACTCTTAATGAAAAGCCACGGGTAGGCTAATTTATAAGAATAGGGAAAAATTCCATTTCCTCATAGTTTTTCCTCAAAGTCTAGTATCAGGATACTGGTGTTGATATCTGTGGAAGCCTGCTTGCTGCTTCAGGGTGGTACCCTGTTGCTTAGCTTTCCAGAGGAAACAGTGTCATGTCTTCACATGGCAGAGGAGCAAAAAAGGCCTGTGCTGGTTCCCACCAACCCGTTTATAAGGCACTAATCATGCCACCTCTCAGAGCAGCTACAAGGAGGATTAAGTTTCAACACAGAAGTGTTGGGGCATGTATTCAGACCGAAGCAGTGGGGTGCTGATTGTGCTGCTAGAATGTGACAGAGTACCCTTCAGCTGAGGAAGACTATGGACATGTTGTGTGACAGTGAAGTCTTTACTGTCATTCCCCTTTAGCAGAGCAGGTGGGTCTTCATTTCTTTTGTCTTCCAAAGATATGATTCAAACTCTGGAGGTGAGAGAGAAATTCAGCGAACTATGTTGGAACTGTTGAACCAGTTGGACGGATTTGACTCACGGGGAGACGTGAAAGTTATCATGGCCACAAACCGAATAGAAACTTTGGATCCAGCGCTGATTAGACCAGGTTAAATTTGCTTTAGGTTCAAATGAAAAATTGTGTTTGTTTGTATTTTAAGCATGTTTTGGGTGTGACCATAAAGTGATTACATACATGCCTACACTTGATCTTAGCCAAAAGGCCGAGAAGCAGTTATATACATGCCTAATGCCATAGTGACCCTTGGAGTTCTAATTTACCAAGAATATGCCCCCTTGCTATAACAGGCAGGTAACAGTGTTCTGGAGCCCATCCAGCTTCACCCTTTCAGTCTTTGCTTTCCTGAAGGAAGAATTCACATGATAGCTTGGACTTATTCTTTATATTGAGGTAGTACTGGAAAAAGTAACATTTTCTACCTTTTGTAATTTAAAAATGTTTCTGTCCTTTATCATTAAATGTGCCATTCAAGAACTGCTCTTCTTTTAAATGGGGTGAATTCAACTGTAGAATTTACTAAGTACAAAAGAGATGTTCACTTTTAAAGACCCGGATGCCATTCCCACACGATGCTATCTAAGTCGGCGGTTCTCACATGGAGAGGGGGTGAGGCCTTGTGCCGAGGGTCTGATGGGACCTCTGTACCTGCAGGGCGCATCGACAGGAAGATCGAGTTTCCCCTACCCGATGAAAAGACCAAGAAGCGCATCTTTCAGATTCACACCAGCAGGATGACACTGGCCGATGATGTAACCCTTGATGACCTGATCATGGCAAAGGATGATCTCTCTGGTGCTGATATCAAGGTGAGAGCCTAAGTGGCCAGCTCATCCTTGGAAATACAGCTATCGCTTGGGACAGACTGTGTTTTTAGTGAGGTTAGGCTGGATGTGTAGATGTCTGGGCTTAATGTCCTGATTGTCCTGTTGGTTTACCATTGTGCCTAAGTGTTAGATTGACTTTTTATCAAAAGCCATTTAATTCATTACTTTATGAAGTCAGTGGCCCCCAAGGCTCTGTAAACACAAGGTTGAGTCAGTGGTACCAAGCTTACACCCTTCTCTGCAGAGCCTTGGCCAGATGTGTGGGCCTCTCAGTCCCGGCCAGAGGGAGAGCTGCTGGGATTTCATCTAGACCAGCAGAGGGGCCCACCACCCACTGCATTTGTTTCCACGGTGTTCTGGTGGAACCCAATACCCTGGGTTTAATCACAGACGTATATGAGTTAGAACATTTGTTCTCAGCTGCCTGGGTGTACTGAGGCCTACTGGCGTTGAATGTGGGCACGGCATGCTTTCCTTGGGTAGGTTTGGTCTTCACTGGATCAAGTGCCCTCATTAGGAATGTCCCATGCTATGCTGGGTGACTGAGTGGTAGTCCTAGAGAACTAGGGGAGTAGCTTAGTTGATGAGTTAAAAAAATTTTTTTTCATAATTATTTTGTAATTGTACATCAGCTTTTTAAATTTGAGACAGAAAAAAAAATTTTGAGACAAAACATTGCAGAGTTGCCCAAACTGAGCCCAGAGCTGTCTTCCCATCTCAAGCCTCCCAGAGTGCTGTATTACAGGCATGTTGCATCAAGCCTGGCTATTGTCACCCTGTTATATACATGCACACACTTCTTGGCCGAACCATTTGAAGTAAATAACCTAGTGGCCATAACCAAGCAGAAATTGTAGTGCCACAGTTTTGCTTTTATCACATTCTGTTCCTGAGAAAACAAATATTAGAATTAATAACATACCTGGCCAGGGAAATAGCTCAGTAGAATAAATGCTTGCCTGGCAAGCGCAAGGTCCTGAGTTCAATTCCCAGTACCACAAAAAAAAAAAAAAAAAAAAAATTTTTGCAGTTTAGAGGACTGTAAGTAAATGAAATGAAATGGACACATACTCTCAATTCTAATGTTCAGGGCATAATTTCCTAGGAACATTCCCTATAGTGAAAGTAAAGCCGTAAGAATTTATTGACCTGGCAGGCCACACAGCTTGTTAGAACCTGAGCCAAAACCTGGAGCCCACAGTCTTGACTCCTGGCCATTCCACTTTCTAAATTATCACTATTTCTAATGTAAGCCAGCTCAGATTCTTTCAAAAAATAACAGGGATGCTTAAAATGTTTAAAAAATACTCTTTTCCCAAATGAGCAATTGTGTTTAGTCTGTCTTACACCTTATTTCAGAAAAGCTCTCTCAGTTGCTTAAGATAAAAATATTTCACTTTCTGAACATACTGTTTGTTCCTTCAGGCAATCTGTACAGAAGCTGGTCTAATGGCGTTGAGAGAACGTAGAATGAAAGTAACAAATGAAGACTTCAAGAAATCTAAAGAAAATGTTCTTTATAAGAAACAGGAAGGTACCCCTGAGGGGCTGTATCTCTAGTGAACCACAGTTGCCTTCAGGCAAGTGGTTGGGACTTTGCTCAACCCCTGGGAAGGATGAGATTTGGGAAGGTGCCCTGAGGGAGACAGTTGATTTTTATCGGTAGCATGGCATGTCTTTTCTAATATGACATATAGGGTGCCTACTGGACGGCCTTTGTCTGTGGTCACTGTGCTGCTTGCTCTCTGCTTCCCAATAAAATGTGCTCTTTCACAAACAGTCCATCTGTGGTCTCCACACCTGGCTTGGCAGCAGTCACAAGGAGCCTACACCTCCGTGTCCATTCACCCTGCTTCATACTCCCAAAGTTGGTGATACCACCGTCCTGGTAATGTCTACATAGTATTGTTTTCGAAGAAGAGGAAATAGCTTTGCTCTGTAGTCCCTGCAGGCTCTTGGCCCTCTGAGGAACTTAAGTACTAGCACTCCAAGAAACTGAAGCAGTGATGGCGAATCTTTTAGAGCTTTCAGTGATACTGCCTACTGTGGCATGCATCCCATAGGCTCGCCACCACTGAAGTAAAGGTTCCTTAAAGAAAACTCAGGGCTGGAATAGCTCACTCACCCTTGTGTGCCGTTGTTCTTGGGCTCAGGAACCTCATCATTTTCAAGAGTGTTCCCTGTCTCTATTTCTCTCCCTTTCCTTTCTAAATGAATTGGTGCTCAACCCCATAGGTGGAGAAGATCAAGGTAAGCATCCACCTGGAGGGTGGTCTGGGTAAAAAAATAATAGTTCTTTAGTTGCGGATTTAGCTTAAAACGAGACAGATTTACAGCTGGGCTGTTGCCATTTATAGTCACAAGATTCAGGAGCCTTAGGTAGGAAGACTTGGACTACTGCAGACAGAGCCTCAGAAACAGTGCAGGCTTATCTCAGTTCTAATAGGTCAAAAGCCCAGCACAGATTTAGAGAAAAATGCTGTTGGCAACACTGTATTCCTTTGTTAGAGGCTCTAAGGCAAGAGTCCATTTCCTCACTGGGGGAGTTTCTGGCACAGCTGTTCGTTGTTGGAGGTCTGAGGTCTTTCTTTGCTGGCCTCCCAGTTTGTGAAGTTCTGTATCTGCAGAGTACAGCAACTCAAGTATCAGTAAAGCTGTGACTCTCCTGGTTATTTCTTCTATCTTCACATCTCTAGCTCATGCACCTCCCTTTTCTACTTGAAATGGACCCTGCGATTACACTGGGCTCATCCAGGTAGTCCAGGATAACCTTTTAAAGACAGTTTCCATTTGCAAAGTTCCTTTTGTTGTTTTACAGTCATAGGTCCCAGCACTTAGGTGTGGATGTCTTTGGTGAACCACTCTGGCTTTCACAGGACATCCAAACTTGAGCCGTGTAGCGCAGTAAGAGGACAGTGGGACAGTAAGGGTGTCTGTCCCAGCAGTGAGCAGGGTGTCACGTGGAAGGGCAGTGCAGCATGGGAACGGGTGTGGGCAGGTGAGGACACCATCCAGCTGGGGTGCTGGGGCTTAAGTAGAGAAGGCTGCAGCAGGAGTGAATGGGGGGAGGCATACCTAAAAGGGCAGCCTGATAAGCGCTGGGACCCACACAAGCAAGGGCATCAAGGTAAAAACAGCAGCAGAACGTGAGTCATATGTGGTCACACGGTAAGAATGGCAGAAGTGGTATTCAGTGAAAAAGGAGTTACAGATGAAATAAGGAAAAGAAAAACAAACGAGTACCTGCCTGGGCAACACGACGTGCCACACCCAGCCAATGAGATCAGGCATGGTGACACATACCCGTAATCCCAGTGCAGGAGAGGCTGAAAACAGGAGGACCACTACGAGTCCAAGCTGTGTAGCAAGACCCTGTGCCAACTACGTAAAAAAGAAACTAAAATTTCGTTCACTGAGAACATTGATAAGCCAATAGCAGGGGGCACACCTACACCCACATCTTTGTTTCTAAATATCACTTGCTTTCCACAAGGAGCTGGGGCTCAGCTGGGAAGATACAAGATGAACCGGAGGTACATTTTGGCAGAAAACAAGTAAGTGGTTAGAAAATGACTGGGATGTGTACAAAGGAGACAGGAGCTTACCTCAAGTTGTGTGGGCCAAACCTGACAGTTTAAGCATCAAAGTAACATTAGTGGAACATAATCCATTAAACAAGACAGGAATTAAACTCCTACATAGGAATTAAAAGTCCCATGAGGAACAGGATAGTTTCAAAGTATTTCCCTATAAAATATTTTTCTATTACTCCCAGCTTCACATCGGAGAAGTCCAGTTGAAGCTGTCTTCGTGATCTAAATGAGCCCTGTAAGTAACAGGTATCCTGGAAGTAGGCGGCACACAAGAGGCCTTACCACTCGGGGCATTCCTGGCCCAAGCTGCTCTCCTGAATTCACATGAGGAAACACCAGTAAACACAAACTGAAGACATCCACAAATTTTGGGTATTTCAGACATGTCCCCAGAACAAAATCAAGTTGAAGCTTCCAGACTGGTGACCAAAGACATGGAAACCAAATGCAACTTACATTCCTACTAAAAATTTTCTATTTGGTTTCTGTACTGTTGCACATAGGAAACTCAGCAACTTACTCCTAAGCAACTTAGAAGAAAAGTCAACTTGTACCATACAGTTGCCTCTTGGTTCAACCAACTATGGGTCAGAAATATTCTGGAAAAAGACCTGAAGCTGAGTTATTACACTCATGCACTATAATAAAATAACAGCATTTACAGTAAGCAGTACAGAGGTGACTTGGAGTACCCTATACACAAAAAACATTTTTTGTGCACAAATTACACTATGTAAGAAGCTTGACCATCCCTGGCTTCTGGAATTTTCAAGGGATTCTGAAACCAGTTCCCTATGGATAGATATAAGGAGATAATTATACTTAAAACTTTGCTGTAAATTTCAGATTGAGAAACCCACACAGAGCCAGGGAGATAGCTCAGTGGTTTAAGTGCCTGCCTGGCATGTGAAAGGTCCTGAGTTCAATCCCTGGTACTGCAAAAAAAGAAAAAACCCTTATTTCCTCTTCCTTCTTGGTAATCTTAGTCTCTCTTGTGTCAACTATAAGAAGCCAAAGCAAAGGCCAAAGCCTCAGATGTCAGGGCAGAGGGAGGTAGTGGGTTAGAGCCAAGCCTGAAATACACTCCACCTCCACCCATTACAGCTGCTGCTCTACTTGTTGACCAAAATAATGCTGAAGTTACCATTTATACAGATGGTCACCAAGGTCTAGAGTGCTGAGCACCAGGGTAGCAAGGATTTCCGGACCAGTCTTCCCCACTGCTTCTACCTGGTGAGCAGAGCAGGGACACCCTTCCTGCCCATGGAAAAGTCAGTGGCTCTCTGAGGCCCTTCCTCAGCAGTAGTTTTAGGACTCTTAATACTCTTGCTGTCACATTTGGCCCTTCCCAGAGACCAGCATGTCATTTTTTAATGAAAAATAAGGACTGTGAAAAGCAGCAGGAAGCAGAGGGCCTCCTCTTACCCAAAGTACAGCACATACCTCCCAGCTCCCCTTTCCCAAGAAGGCCACGCTCCACTCAAGTGCTGTCCCACATGCCTGGGGCAGGGCTGACCCTGGGGTCTGATGTGATCAGCCTTTCCCTCAGGAAACAGCCACCACTCCTGGAAAAAACATGGCAACTGTCCAACTACCATGAATGCATTTTTAAAAATCCCTTTCTCTGCCCACCAGGTTTACTGCTGTTCTTGGAAGGAGACTGATCACCTTTCAGACTCCAGTCTAACAATCTTTTCACCAGGCTTTATAAAAAAATGTTTGTGTACAAGGTATTGAACCCACAGCCTTCACACTGTGTCAACCACACACACACTTTTTTTTTTTTTCTAGTACAGGATCTCACTACACAGATTGGACTCGTAGTGATCCTCCTGTTTTCAGCCTCCCAAGCAGTGGGATTACAGGCGCACACTACCACGCCCAATCTCATTCACCCTCAGTGCGCCCCAGGGGCGGCGAGGCTGGCATAGCATGCTGGGGATCAAACCCTAGCCGCTGCACTCTGTGCTCTGCCTAAGCAGGCAATTTAAGCAGCTGAACTATCTGGCTGGCCCTTATATTTGTTTATTTCAAGTCCAGTTGCACAGGCTTTGCTCGAACTTGGGGTCCTCCTGACAGCCTCCAGAATTGGAATGACAAGCATATAGTATCCTGCCTGGTTTTAATAGGCTTTTAAAAATCCTAACAATGATAGCTTGCCATCCTTTTTTCTGTGAAACACTTACACACTAAGAAGTTTTTTAAACTTCTTCCCATGCAGCAAGTAATATGAGTGATCAATCTGAGCTGCTGCTTTACCAGGTCTCAGGGTCACTGCCCATGTGTATAGCTCACACCAGGCTCCCCGAGTCCCATCAGGACTGAGGGCACTGATTTGCCACAGGCCACACTCTGCCACGTTCTACTCAAATAAGACCCACAGGCAGTGGGAAACCGGGACATTATTACAGTAAACATGGCTTGGTCCTGGGCTTTTGGCTCCATGCCTCTAATTGGGTCAGCAAGGTGCCCGGCTTGTTGCCCACCCACAAGGGGCAAGGGTGGCAAATGTCGTCAGCAGCCCAAAAAGGCCCGTTCTTGTCATCTGACAGCCCGAGTTCCAGCAGTCCTGCCCATCTCAGAATCCAGCGCTCAGCGTGAAGGCAGACAGGCCAGGGCGGCCACATCCTTCCATGTCTTGAGACACTGCCCTAGAAAGCACTGTTGCTCTGTTGCTTCCCTTCTTTTTCCCAGCTATGTCTATCAGTTTCTTCCTTACATCCCACGGCACTGGCTTTTCTGGATGAAGTGGCAAAGAAATCCCAGTCTTTGGTGGTTCAAAGGATAAGTATTAAGAAAATCCAAAAAGAGCCATTGGGCAGCACTGCTCAGGGAACACAGGCAAGCCATTCTTCCCACCCTGCTTGTATACCTTAGAAATGACTGCATGGCAGATCTTTTCAGCAGCAGAAGGGCGTCTCATTTACCCACAGCCTCAAACAAAACCGGAACATGCCCACCTTTTAAATCTTTAGCAGCTGCTGCGGAAGAGAGCATGGCACACCTGAGCTCACTGCAGCCAGGTCGGCTTGGCTGGGAGAAGGTGGTGATGTCATGCTCTCTGGTCTGGGGTCGCCAGCAGGCTTCCTGCAGAGAGGTCACGTCCTGGATAGCACTTACACCCTCTGCAACCCAGTTGCCCTGTGGCTTGGGTGGAGGGCAGATTCTGATTCGGCAGGGCCAGGCCGGGCTGGGCATCTGCAATGCTCACCTGCTCCGCAGGACACTGCTGGCCCAGAGGTGCATGTCTCCTGAGTAACTCGCCACAGTCCTGGCCCATGGCAGAAAAGCAAGTGTTCAAGAACCCTCCCTGTCAGAGTGGAGAGAGGAGGTCCTAACCTTAAGGGGCCAGACCTCTCAGCCTGCACTCGGGCTCAGCAGACCTCCCAAGGAAGCCTGAAGAGGCTGTGTGCACCAGGATGGGGCCAGGCCCAGCTGCACAGACGAGCAGAGGAACAGGAAGCCACATACACCTCAATCTCAAAAGATTTCATCATCCCCAACCATAGGTCCGCATCTGTGTTCGTAGTCACATACAGAATACTAAGAACAACAGTTTTTGTGTGGTGTACACGTCCAAAAGCTGTGCTGAAGGAAATGACCAGGACAGAGTGCACACGTGTCTGGCAGCCTAGTCCTCCAGCAGGAGCTCCAGTTCCTCCAAGGGCAGGCGCACACGGAGCTCCTTCTCGGTCATCAGATCCAGGATTTCCTGCAGCTGGTCAGGAAAGTACTCCACGGCATCCAGGTATAAGACCTAGTGGCAAAGAACACCCTCACAGTGAGCATGAGAAACGAGCAAGTCCCCCAGTGCACCTGCCCTGTGCTACCTTCCACCACCCACAGTCCCTTTCCTCTGGGCTTGCTTGACTCAGACAGTATCAGGAAGGTTCAGGAAAGAAGCCAGACTCACAAAATAGAGGGAAAGCCAGGAGACCCTGAGTGGACCTTCTACTTCCATGGGACCAGAGCGTTGCCAGACACTGAGCCATTCAGTTTGGTTTCTGAATGTCTACTGGATGCCAACTCTCCCGGCACCTCGCTCTCTCCAGCGTATGTTGGGAAACCAGCTACTCCCCACCCACTCTCATGAGCACCAGCTCCAGGACAAGAAAAGGCTACTAATGTCCATAAGGCTTCAGCTCTGTAGGAAGACTCCCCGGATGTGCCTGGGGCCAGGGAACTGCCATTCCCAGAGCTTACTTTCCCCAGTGAATGTAAGGCTGAGCTGAGGCCTGGGGGAGCATGCTTAGGGTCTGAAGATACCTGCATCTTTAAAACTTACCTTTGCCCAAGGACAGTGCTGAAGTGCTTTGTAGAACACACCTTTGCTTCTTTCTTTGTTTCCTAAGGAAACCTGAGGTAAAAGGGAAAAAAATACAGAATCAATTGAAGCCCAGCAACTAAGGCTGTAAAAGCACCCTTCCTGATTTGCGCATGACCTTCAGTGCTGTGAGCCAGCCCGTGCTGGTGGCCTGGCACCGTGGTAGCTGGTGAGAATAGTGCCTAGACAGTGACGGCGTTTCCCTCTACAAATGGGCCCAGGTGGTGATGGTTATCACGTCTAACTCTGGGAAGGCCCAAGTCCCTTTACTATGATATGAGGCTGATGACCTTGTTCAAAAGAGAAAGTATTTGCTTTAATATTTGCTATTTGACGAAAACTTTGTTTTAGAGAAGATCACAACCCTGGTGAGTTCATTTCTCTAAAATTAACGAGATTTTACCACATTAAAAGTGAACTTCTCACCGGGGAGATGGCTCAGTGGAATAA